GGAGTGGGGGAATAGGGATTTGAGGAAAGGGAGAACGGGGATTTGGGGAGGGGGAGAACAGGGCTGGGGATGTGGGAGGGATCAAAGCTGTGAGGGAGGGGGAACAGAGGGTTCTGAGGAGGGGGAAAATGGGGTCCTGAGAGGGGGAGAACAGGACTGTCAAGGGGGAAGGACAGAGCTGTGAGAGAAGGGAACACAGAGCTTTGAGGAGGGGGAGAACAGGGCTGTGAGGAGGGGGAACACAACTCTGAGAGAGGGAGAACAGAGCTCTTTGAGATGGTGAAGAACAGGGCTCTAAGAGAAGGGAAAAGAGCTCTGTGAGGAGGGGGAACACAGAGCTCTGAAGGGGGAGAATGGGCTCCTGAGGAGGGGAGAACAGAGCTGTGAAGAGGGGGAACACAGAGCCCTGAGAAGGGGGAAAACAGGGATTTGAGGAGAGGGAAAACAGGGATTTGGGGAGGGGGAGAAGAGGATCCTGAGAGGGGAAGAACAGGGCTGTGAGGAGGGGGAACAGAACTCTGGGAGAAGGGAAAACAGCTCTGTGAGAAGGGGGAGCACAGGGCTGTGAAAAGGGGGACCAGGGCTCTGAGAGGAGGAAACACAGAGCCTTGAGGAGGAGGAAAATAGGGATTTGAGGAGGGGGAAAACAGGGCTCTGAAGAGAGGGAAAACGGATTTTAGGAGGGGGAACACAACTCTGGGAGAAGGGAGAACAGCTCTGTGAGGAGGAGGAACACAGAGCTCTGAAGGGGGAGAATGGGCTCCTGAGACTGGGAGAACAGGGCTCTGAGGAGAGGGAAAACAGGAATTTGAGGAGGGGGAACACAGAGCCCTGAGGAGGAGGAGAAGAACAGGGCTCTGAGAGGAGGAAACACAGAGCCCTGAAGAGAGGGAAACCAGGGATTTGAGGAAGGGGAAAGCAGGGCTCTGAGGAGAGGGAAAACAGGGCTCTGAGGAGGGAGAACACAACTCTGGGAGAAGGGAGAACAGCTCTGTGAGAAGGGGGAGCACAGGGCT